ATGTTGTCTAAAGGGGGTTAAGAGAGCAGTCTCTTTCAAATGAAAAATGCTTTAATTAAGCAGATGTTTAAAGTATAATATATGAGAGAGGCAATCTTACAGGTTGTCGACGCTGTAAAATCCCCAGAGAGAGTGTTTTTGTAGCATCATGCTGTGACTCACACGATGACCCAAGGTCATCAGGAGCAGCAAACTAAGCCTATCTCCGTCTCAATGGTAGCGCTGCTTGCGAGTTAAATATACAAATCTGCAAATAACTCTAAGGATATTCAAGATATTCAAGAAAATTTTTTTCGTAAACCTTTCCGGGGATACACCTCATAATATCCCAAAATTTCACGGCGATTGGATGTATGGTTTTTGAATCCATAGAGGACACACACACACAGACAGACAGACATTCATTTTTATATATATAGATATACACTCATGGAAGAGTGGAAATTATTTGATGTCGCTGGTCATCTTTTTTTTTTTTTTAAAGACAGAGGCAATTTTGTTTATACAAGTACTTGGTTGTACATGGTTATCTCGTGTGTCTTCAATAAAGGTCACTATAATATCTTTCAGAGTTATTGTCTGAATCCCGATATACATGCTAAAAGGTACAACTTTCTTGAGTTTTATCCATGAGTGTATATTGGTTATCTCGTGTGTCTTCAATAAAGGTCACTATAATATCTTTCAGAGTTATTGTCTGAATCCCGATATACATGCTAAAAGGTACAACTTTCTTGAGTTTTATCCATGAGTGTATATTGGTTATCTCGTGTGTCTTCAATAAAGGTCACTATAATATCTTTCAGAGTTATTGTCTGAATCCCGATATACATGCTAAAAGGTACAACTTTCTTGAGTTTTATCCATGAGTGTATATTGGTTATCTCGTGTGTCTTCAATAAAGGTCACTGTAATATCTTTCAGAGTTATTGTCTGAATACCGATATACATGCTAAAAAGTACAACTTCCTTGAGTTTTATCCATGAGTGTATATTGGTTATCTCGTGTGTCTTCAATAAAGGTCACTGTAATATCTTTCAGAGTTATTGTCTGAATACCGATATACATGCTAAAAGGTACAACTTTCTTGAGTTTTATCCATGAGTGTATATTGGTTATCTCGTGTGTCTTCAATAAAGGTCACTGTAATATCTTTCAGAGTTATTGTCTCAATCCCGATATACATGCTAAAAGGTACAACTTTCTTGAGTTTTATCCATGAGTGTATATTGGTTATCTCGTGTGTCTTCAATAAAGGTCACTGTAATATCTTTCAGAGTTATTGTCTCAATCCCGATATACATGCTAAAAGGTACAACTTTCTTGAGTTTTATCCATGAGTGTATATTGGTTATCTCGTGTGTATTCAATAAAGGTCACTGTAATATCTTTCAGAGTTATTGTCTCAATCCCGATATACATGCTAAAAGGTACAACTTTCTTGAGTTTTATCCATGAGTGTATATTGGTTATCTCGTGTGTCTTCAATAAAGGTCACTGTAATATCTTTCAGAGTTATTGTCTCAATCCCGATATACATGCTAAAAGGTACAACTTTCTTGAGTTTTATCCATGAGTGTATATTGGTTATCTCGTGTGTCTTCAATAAAGGTCACTGTAATATCTTTCAGAGTTATTGTCTCAATCCCGATATACATGCTAAAAGGTACAACTTTCTTGAGTTTTATCCATGAGTGTATATTGGTTATCTCGTGTGTCTTCAATAAAGGTCACTGTAATATCTTTCAGAGTTATTGTCTCAATCCCGATATACATGCTGAAAGGTACAACTTTCTTGAGTTTTATCCATGAGTGTATATTGGTTATCTCGTGTGTCTTCAATAAAGGTCACTGTAATATCTTTCAGAGTTATTGTCTCAATCCCGATATACATGCTGAAAGGTACAACTTTCTTGAGTTTTATCCATGAGTGTATATTGGTTATCTCGTGTGTCTTCAATAAAGGTCACTGTAATATCTTTCAGAGTTATTGTCTCAATCCCGATATACATACTGTTACGTAGAAATAAAAGCACATTCCAGATGGAGAGAGAATGTTCTAGAGCGTTTAAGAATCATGTAGAAAAAGCGGAATACAACTGATTGGTCAATCTACAGCTATTGCGCAACGCTCGGTGCTGGCGGCTTTCTGATTGGCTGACCAACCGTGACCGTTCTGGAAAGATCTACTCCGGGATATATAGGGATGAGAAACTCATGCCAGGGAAGAAGAAAGATAAAAGAGAGTAGAAGAACGAAGCTACGTGGTGTACTCCAAGCAAGCTGCTGTCTCAAGAAGTCGGAGTGCTGCTTACCGCCGACGCCGGTGTGCTTCCTGGAAGATTCTGGAAGGTTCTACGAACTTCTGTCTCCTGTTCTGCTCCTGCTTTCCCTTACTGCGCTGCAGTTGGTGAGTGTGTAACTGCTGTTTTCTTTATTGTTGTTTTTTTTTGCATTCTTCTGTAATTATTTTATCGATTAGGCTTAAATAAAGTCCTAAAGATCCTTTGTACCCACGGAAGTTATTCTTTGCCAACCAACAACGCAACAATACTAAAAGGTACAACTTCCTTAAGTTTTGTTCATGAATGTAGTCCATTTACAAAGTTACTGATTGCAAAAATAATTATTTAGTAAATTATGTTTGTTGAAGGGCTCTTTGTCTCAAAACCTCGTTCCTTTCAAAACACAAAATAAAGTCATATTTATTGCAAATAAATTCTTATAAGTTTGTAATTTTTAATCCTTTCATAAATATAATATATTTTCTTATTTTTTTTTAAATATAATTAACACACTAATTAGGTTAGGTAGTCATCAAATTAATTGCCCTTTTTTCTCAATTTCATTAAATAATTGTAAAGATCTGAAAAGATGGTAAATTGAGTTAAATGCAATGCAGTGAATAACCTCCGTGAAAAAAAAATCCTGAAATGCTTTTAATCACAAACTATATTGTTATCCTTCAATTAAGTGTGTTCACTAATTAATTAATTAATTATAAAAGGAAAAGAATTAGATGGGGTCTTTGTATATAAGAGTCATTTTTGGAATGTTTTAGATAAATTACAAAATATTTTGATATGTCACCTGATTATACTTTTATTGATCTTTTCGTTTTTTTCTGTTTTAATTTTAACAGAGTTATATGATTGGCTTAATTTGTATTATATATAAGAATTGTATGTAACTTTGTAACGAAACATTTCATGGAATGGATATACAGTTAAACCTGTCTATAGCGCCCCCTCTAAATAGCGCCTCTGTATATACATGTAAATATAATGTGTATATATGTGTAAATATATGTAAATATAAATTACATATATGTAAATTAGATTATTCTTTTGTTGCCTTATATACGAGGTAATTAACTCCTTTCTCTATATATATCTAAAAATGTTTAAAGTTTAATAAACTAATTTTATAAATCTGATAGTTATCTTCAAAAACGATCCAACAGCCTTCCTCTCTATAGCGGCCGATTTTAAATACGTAGTACGATGCGATTTACATTAAAAGTGACCTGTCTATAGCACCCCCTCTCTAAAGCACCCTATTTCGGTGAATCCCAAGAGGGGGGCGCTATAGACAGGTTTAACTGTATATTTATCTAGTTATTTATTTATATTTTTAGCAGAGAGAGAATATTCATTGTGGAAAATTTTACAAAAGTGAAATTGTACTGGGATCAGGTGGATAAATTATGAAAAAGGCATCTCCTGATTGTAAAACTAAAGGTTACTGATGGCCTGCGTCATCTGTCGGAATAATAGTTGATATATATAAAATGAAAGGATTTAAAAACACGAATGTTTCTTTTATACATAATACAAACTTCTACTGTCCTTACTGCGATGAAAATATATATTGGGAGGGCTTGGCTCATCAGTGGTGAACCCTCCCAGCGGTTTCGGCCTCATCGCAGTAAGGGCAGTAGAAGTTTGTATTATGTATAATAGAAACATTCGTGCTTTTAAATCATTTTATATGTATAGATGGCGCTTTATTGCTTTGTGTTAATAGTTGATATTTATTCCGACAGATGCCACAAGCCATCAACAAATTTTTGTTGCACGACACCATTGGATAGTGGGCTACTTAGACCGAAGTCTGTACGTCTGACTTGTTGCAAGACAATCAACAATTCAAAACAACTTTATTGAATCCTAGTCAATATTTACCAAAAACAGAAATAAATCTCTTAATTAAAAAGGCATATATTGGATCAAAATATCATTTATTTTACCAATATTTCAGTTGGCTGAACGCCAAACCTTTATCAAGGTGTTATAACATATTTAATGTGTGTCAACAACAAACTCAGCGCCACATAACGTCAACAGAATTAAGTTTTAAAAATATTTTGTTATATTCAATGGGGAGAAAAAAATTGATATATATTTATATTTATTTTGTTCATAATATAATTATTTTCTCCCCATTGAATATAACAAAATATTTTTAAAACTTAATTCTGTTGACGTTATGTGGCGCTGAGTTTGTTGTTGACACACATTAAATATGTTATAACACCTTGATAAAGGTTGGCGTTCAGCCAACTGAAATATTGGTAAAATGAATGACATTTTGATCCAATATATGCCTTTTTAATTAAAGATTTATTTATGGATTGCTCTATTTTCAAAAATAAATATTCTTAATTAATCGATGGAGGCTCCTTGTCCTCCTCCAGACAGGGTCTTCTTGGTACCTGCCCAGTTCCACCTTGAGAAAATACCTGTAGTTGCATGATCAGAGATGCTTTTTTTCTTAAAATATTAATTGTTTTAACCACCGAATATAATATTTTAAAATATAATAAAGGTTCAGGTTCCTAATATATATATATTACTAGCCGAATGGCCCGGGCAACGCCCGGGTTTTACCAGATTAAATGCTTTTATTCAAATACTATTCGTTACAATTATAAATTGGCGCCGTGGATGTCATTCTTGTATAATATATAAATGAGTTTTAAAAATTGTAAAAAAAAAAATGCATCGGCCGGGAATCGAACCCGGGCCGCCTGCGTGGCAGGCGAGCATTCTACCATAATCCATTCACAAAAGCAAACAGTGACAGAATTGATTAAGAATTGTTGCTTGATGACTCTGATACTTGTATATTTTAATTGTTTCTCTTTTTATTCCGAATACTTTTTCTTGTATAATATGTTTATAACTGTTTCTGCTTTAAAAAATGTAAATCAACGCAATCATCCCTAGCCGGGATATCGCGTTTTGTATGTTGAAATAAATAAAATGGTAGAATATAATATTTTGGATATTATATTACTTAGAAAATACACGGAAATTTTAAGGTATTTTTAGCAACAATTAAAGCGGTTGAAGACTCTAGCTGTCATTGTAGCAAGGAAATCCAGGACTCGAGACACCTACTGTTTGAATGCCCACTCTTCTTTAGCGTTAGACAACAGACAGTAAATAATGAAAATTCGAAACTATTATAGACGCGCATGATTCTTTTGAAAATTAAACAATTTCTACTGTCCTTACTGCAATGGAAAAATTAAAGGGAGGACCTGGCTCATCAATGATTTCGAATATTCATAACAGATGGCGAGCTATGCATCATAATACTATAGATAATTGTCACAGATTTATTCATTTTTGTAAATATATTTATGATTATCTTTCTAACCTGGAAGTATCAGGTTCCTAATATATATTATTGTTTTTTGTTTGTTTGTTTAATATGTTTATAACTGCTCCTGTTTAAAAAAAGTAAATCGACGCAATTATCCCTAGCCGGGATATCGCGTTTTGTATGTTGAAATAAAAACAAATTCATAAATTACTTGGAAAATTTCTCTTATTGTTTATCTACTATGTAAATAAGTGTATCCTACTATTATATGTAAATAAGTGTATCCTACTATTATATGTAAATAAGTTTATTATTGTGTTGATCACAATAAATTTCCTTGTCATCTTCACATGTTGTTTTGCTTCATTTTCTACATAACTTGTTGGTAGAGATGCTGGGTAGATCAGGACAGTAGACCTTAAAGCCATGGTTGCTGTGATCTACATTTACCGCGACTGACTCCAGGATTCCACCGCTCTGTCAAGACTTCCCTCCAAGATGACAATGTCCCTATTAACGATACGACGATAAAGCCGCTCTTTACACCGCAAGAATCAAAATGACTTAAAGCTACTAGGGACAAACTTCTAAGAAGCTGAGAGAAACCTTGACTGAAATATGTAAGTTATCATGTGAGTTAAATATTTTTTTTGACTCGTGCTTTAGATGTTTTCAAAATTAGAAATATCGCGTGAGAACGCCCTTGGAACCTTAGAATAATTTTAAACGCCTTGCTAAATGTTTTAATTTTTGTTTGATCCTGACGAGGGCAAAAGCTTTTTGTCGAAACGTCGAGGTAATAAAAAGATTTACTGGCCGAAATATCTTTATTTTCGTTAAAAATGAAATATGTAAGGTCCAGTCAGTAGCAAAAAATATTTGCAAACTGTGGATCACAGCTCCCCCAATGAAAAATAGTGGGGGGGGGGGGGGGGGGGCTTGGCTCATCAGTAGGGAACCCTCCCTACTTAAAGAATACTGTATTGGACGATTCCGAATATATATGCAACAATGAATTATGAAATATTAGTTATGGTATTTTAGAAAACAATATGGAAATAAGCTTTTAGGACAGTATAAAGTTGTTACATTTGGTTTTGAAAGAAACATTTGTGTTTATGGTTTTGGTTCTTATATAATAGTAGGTAGTAGTTGGCGACTGCTTTTACTGTAAGTGCATCACATGTCTATACACGATACAAGCCATGATAATCATGGTAGGTAGTTAACAACTGCTTTTACTGTAAGTAAACCATATGCCTATACATAGTACAGGATATAGTAATCACGGTAGGTAGTAATTAGCTACTGTTTTTACTGTAAGTGCACCACATGTCTACACATGGTACAGGCCATGATAGTCATAGTGGGTAGTTAGCGACTGCTTTTACTGTAAGTGTACCACATGTCTACACTTGTAGAAAGCAGTTCGACTTTTGCATTTATAAATGTACCAGAGCCCTGTATGGTTACTTGAACTCGCTGGTGTGGTTGGACTTTTTCAAGAATCGGGGATCATTAGAACAATTTTTTTTTTATTATTATTAAAAAAAAAAGTGTCCAATGCGGGATTCGAACCCGTGTCGTGCCTGTCAAAATAGACCGTTTATAACCACTCGTCTGCCGACCACCATATGGAAGAATGAAGAAACAACGAGTCATCTTGTATCAGAACTATAAATGATGTTTAAGAACTAAGAAACTTTTAAATAACGTCTCAACTTGCAAGTGTTTACAACTTTTCAAAGTTTCCTTTTTTTTTAATGATAGGAGGCGTTTTTAATGTTTAAATTGGTACAAACCAGACGGTCAAAAATTCTAATAAATTTATATTGCTCTCAGATATTTGTATAAAGTTTATATTCTCATCATCAAATATAAGGTGTTTAAATTTAAAACTTTGAAAAAAAAAAGTCGAAATATAAAATCAAAAAGTCAAAAATATAAATTTCAAATATCTAATTAAAAGATGATAACCCCCTAGGACTCTTGACTAAGTTGAAAAAATTTACCATATTTACATACGTCAAATTTACATATATGTAAAATATCAATTTTAAAATGTCTGGCCATATATTTAAAATGTCAAAAGGTAAAAACCTGAAACTTAAATATAAGTGATCACACAATATTTACTCATATCAAATTTACATAAATCTAGAAAATGAGTTTAAAAATATCTTAATAAAAAAATGTTTAATATATCTAATTAAAAGGTGAAAAATCTATAACTTGAATATATTGGGATACCATATTTACATATGTCAAATTTACATAAATTTAGAATATGAATTTTAAAATGTCTGTGTATATATATAAAATGTTTATTCAAAAGGTGAAAAACCTAAAAGTTGAATATATGTGATACCATATTTACATACGTCAAATTTACATATATGTCCATTACAAATACAATCAATAAGTACTCACCGAATTCAATAAAGAAAATTGCTAATAAAAATCATATTTCTAATCGTTCAAAATCGTATTTTTAAAGTTAACAAAGCATTTTTATCGAAAAAAGCTGAAAACGAAAATAAATTGTCACATAAAAATGATGACAAAATGGAAATAATGATATGACTAAATCAATTTTATATTGAAATGTATTTTTCCTGCATGTAGATTTTTAGCATATCAAATAAACTGTGAATATATAGTTTGGGAATCCCATGTGTTATAATATAGGCTGAAAGTTTCCCATCTTGCTGTCTTCAATGCTGTAAAACGACATCGAATTACTTATAGAACATGCACTGCCATCTATGAAGCATTTTTGACACTATTTATCATTTTTCTTTTTTTATTTGTTCTCTACCTAAATATATTAGAGCTTCCCTTTCTTATATTATTTTTTATAAATATTTATGAATTATTAATTACAATTTATTTATAATATAAAAATTAATGAATCATAAATTAATATTTTTATGCATTTTTTTTTTTAATAATTCAAAAATTGTAATTTTTTTCATTCCAAGAAGAAAACAAGTAATGTAAAATTATATAAAATGTAATTCCATATGAATTTTCTTATTGATGAATATTTGCATATACAAATTCAGATTGAAGGTTTTCAAATTAAAAACAAGAAGAAATAACGCGTCAATTAGTTCCATCCTAAACACACAGAGGGCACTCCACTACCTGCCCCGATGACCCTTGAGCTCCAGGAGGATCAGGAAATGGAACGGGAGACTCAGTAAATGGAGTTCTTCCAACAACTGAACGACGAAACTATCCTGAGGCCCCTATATAAACGAGGGATGGTCATGGAAGATGTCGTGTATGCGGCCCTATACCTCAACCTTAAGGAGCGTCTCCTCGCGGAAATCTCGCCTAAACACAAGATTATTCTTGTCAAATTCCTTAATAAAGTCATCGAGCATGCTGGGGACACGGATTCCATAACTCGCAACGGCCTGTCCGAACTCAAGGCGGCTTTAAGCTCCTGATGAAATCCAGACGTCCCTCCGTCTGTTGTAAATATTTCTCCCTGTTTTTAACTGTAAACTCTCTCCCTACTGTAGACTAGATGTCAATAAACTGTTTTTAATTGTCATTTACATAGGCGCACACATTTACATACCTACCCACGCACACACACTAACTCGCAACGGCCTGTCCGAACTCAAGGCGGCTTTAAGCTCCTGATAGGATCCAGACGTCCCTCCGTCTGTTGTAAATATTTCTCCCTGTTTTTAACTGTAAACTCTCTCCCTACTGTTGACTAGATGTCAATAAACTATTTTTAATTGTCATTTACATAGGCGCACACATTTACATACCTACCCACACACACACACTAACTCGCAACGGCCTGTCCGAACTCAAGGCGGCTTTAAGCTCCTGATGAAATCCAGACTTCCCTTCGGAGTGTCTGTTGTGAATATTTCTCCCTGTTTTATATATAACTTCTCTCCCTACTGTTGACTAGATGTCAATAAACTGTTTTTAATTGTCACACAGAGGGCAATATAGGTTTATTGTGTTGTTTACTATATAACAATTCAATAATTATATACATATTGCCACGTGGAAAATTAGGGAAGACCAACTTTGGGATGACAATTTATTTCAGGCAAGAACAAACTATGAAGGATAAACAAAAGATAAGCAATGAGGAAAGTTTACAGAGTAGCAAAATATAAACATAAAAAAATGATACTCTGTTAATAAAATAATAAATACTTTGCTATATAGCTCCTTCCCTATGGGAGCTGTGACCAACACCTAGCAAATATTATAGTTACTGACATGGATCTGACGTGCTTCTGTCAAGGATTCCATCGAAGTCTTGGAACTTTGTTCCTAGTACCTTTGCGTCCTTTTTCTTGCGGCGTGAAGAGCGGCTTTGTCGTCGTATCGTCGTCTATAGGGACATCGTCATCTTGTAAGGAAGTCTTGGCTTTGACACGGCGGTGGAATCCTGGAGTCAGTCTTTGAAAATGTAGATCACAGCA